GATTAGTCGGTTTCTTCTTACTGTGCACCTCTTCAACCTCCTTCGATGCGAGGGAATTCTGATCAGTAACCTGAGACTTGACCATTTCCGACTGGCGAGCTATTTGAATCGCGACTTCTAGCGTTAAATCCGACTTTAACTGTAATTTCTGCGACACACCTTTATCAAGAATTCCAATGACAATTCTGTCCCGTATTTGCTGATCACGGCTGTCACCAAAATCACAGTGTTCGGCTAATTCGTAAAGACTTCGTACGAACGATTCGACTGTCTCTCCTTGCTTTTGGATCCTTTGGTGAAAACGTGCCCGCTCATGAATTATGTTCCGTTTCGGCACGAAATGTTCATCAAACTTCGCCAAAATCACGTCGAATTTTGCATCATCTCCATCAGCCAAGGTAAAAGACTTATACACATGTTCTGCTTCTCTTCCCATTGTGTAAGTGAGAGCACTGACTTGCACGGCGCCTTCCTCTTTGTGAAGTTTCGTCGCGAGTCGAAATCGCAGGAGATTCTGCTTCCAATCTGGCCAGTCGAGCGGTTTGGAAAAATCAAATTTCTCTGGAGGGCTTAACTTCAGCATTTTACTGGTTTAACCGCTGCCACCATGTCTTGAAATCTCAACAGGATTTAATCTTATAACAAACAAACGTGATGTACAAAGTCCGCCATTAGGCAAGAGCACATGGTAAAACTACGTCCTAATGCGCATGTCGCTAGCGTTACTAAGCAACATCGAGACACACTGCAAAACATAATTCTTCCTACTTACCAGGAATAACAGTGTATCTTGCTTTAAATCCATGGGCTGTTACAGAACCATCAGTAACAAAACATACAATCAAGGTTTCGTGGTAAGAAGAAAAAGTCGAATCGCTGGTGAGTGAACCACATAAACGCCCAGGAAACACACCACTACCATATATGACAGCATTTTGAATTTGTATATAGTCGTAGCGACAGCCAGTCCCACTTTCTATGTCCATGTCTTGAATGACCAACTTGACGCGATTTCCTGTACTTGCCATGATTTTCCATTTGCAATTGTGGTTATTACCATAATTTCCCGGATAAGAAGGACTTGTGATGATGCCTGAAGTCCCTGTCAGGATTGCCATATTTGGACACGCTGACGCTTTAAGACAAGAGAATAAGAACACCTTTCGTTTTAGAAAAGGTGAAACACTCGCCACGTCAAGCTCGTGGAAAAAAGAAAGAGATCTGACTTCCCACAACAGTGATCGGGCGTTTTAATCATATAGTAGTCAATTTATCCTGGTGTTAAAGGGGGTTTGTCTCGAGGATATTGCTGTTTTTAGGAATTTTACGTGCTGAAGTCATCACTTAGTGCCCATACACTTATACAAAATGCTCCTTTAGAGTTATGGAGAAGGTCCCAAACAAAATTTATCAGACAGCACTAGCCATAATTATTTTTTGGTAATTTTTTGCATTGAAAAGGCTGGCCATTTTTTCAAGTTTCACTCATCCTTACCATCCATATTAACAGACGACAGGAAACGGTTTTAATGCCTAAATATAGTCTTATTCTTTGAATTCAACTGATTCGAAAACACGCTTTAACTTTTTAAAAAGGTAGAAAATAGCGTGACATAGCCCCTTAAAATAACTTGGTACGTACCGTAAGAAATACCTCCATGGAGTTCCATTGATTTCCGTGGAAAAAATTTCCATGGCATTCCATGGGGGATAAGGACAACAATTTCAATGGAATTCAATGGAAAAGTTCCACGAAATTCCATGGAAACTACTGCAACCAATTCCATTGATCTCCATGGAGTTCCATGAAATTCACAGGAATTAGACCACGGAATTAAATATCGCATTGAGTTACAGATGTAAATGGAATATATGTATATACAATTTTCCACAGATTTAGGTGTCACTGCAAATTACTGGATAAGTTCACTTTTATTAAATAGAAAACCGCTCAGTCTCTTTTGAAAAGTTATAAATACAAATTACTTAAGCTCAATGAAATCAAAACTCACTCAGAACAACAAGTTGCTCAAACGTACATCGATAAATGTTTAGTGACTGACAGTTCGCCAGATTACGGACGTGACTCTTAACTGTTACAAGGTGCCTGTACTGAGTCTCTAGACAGCCAAGTCCAAGGAGGAGCTACTCAGCCTCCCCACCCATGAAGCTTATGACTAGTCAATCACTTCCCCCACGCTCTGCTAGTAGTGTTTCGGGCGAAGCCTTCCAGACTATGAAACTAGTGCATCAGGAAATCACGAACAGGAGATGAGTGGACCTTCGGACATGGACGGTGATTGAAGACTGACGCAAGAGTAGATAATACAATAAAGAGTCCAAAGAAACGCTAAGACTTATACGGGATAACTCAAAATGAAGAGCCAGTCCCTCCTGAGTGCTGAATTTTCAAGATGGCGTGGCTTTGTTATTTTCTAGTTTCATCCTATCGTTCAGCACTTTTTGCCCTTTCAAAATGTAACCTAGGCATCACTCTCAAACAGAATCAGTTTGAGGAGTTAAACCTTAGGGCCAGAATGATGTAAGTGGGCTGGTTGAGACGACTGATGCCCGAGGCGACCGAGGCAACAATGGTGATAGAAAAGTTACTTGGTCGTTGTAATGTACCTGCATCGGCGGATCCAGACCTTCAGATTGGGGGGGCGGTCATCCAGACCTTGAGATAAGAGGGATTGGGCGATTTTGGTCCAAAACTAAGGGGGGCGGACCCCCTGGGCCCCTCCCCTGGATCTGACTCTCACCTGTAAAGACATTTGGATGCAGGCAAGTAAAAGGACCTTCCAGGTACGATGACTTCTTTTAAAACAAGAAGACTTTGAAATGGCAGTAATATCAGCACCGGTATCAATTTTGAACACCAGAGGTTTACCACTGACCTTAAGCTGGACCTTCCATTTGTCATCCTGATCTAAATCACTTGACAACGCACCTAAGAACCAACGACCAACACTGCTATCATTTGAAGCACTACCACCACCACTACTATTCACCTCACTCACCGACTTGGACCAACAAACAGCTGCAAAGTGACCCACTTTTTGACATTTCAAACATCGTTTATCTTTTGCTAAACAGTGTTCAGGCTTTGAGTGATGAAGACCGCATCTGCCACACTTCTTCTGACCTTGCTTCTGAGATGGATCCTCTTTCTTTCCTTTTCCCTTTTTCCAACGCAGATTAGTCGGTTTCTTCTTACTGTGCACCTCTTCAACCTCCTTCGATGCGAGGGAATTCTGATCAGTAACCTGAGACTTGACCATTTCCGACTGGCGAGCTATTTGAATCGCGACTTCTAGCGTTAAATCCGACTTTAACTGTAATTTCTGCGACACACCTTTATCAAGAATTCCAATGACAATTCTGTCCCGTATTTGCTGATCACGGCTGTCACCAAAATCACAGTGTTCGGCTAATTCGTAAAGACTTCGTACGAACGATTCGACTGTCTCTCCTTGCTTTTGGATCCTTTGTGAAAACGTGCCCGCTCATGAATTATGTTCCGTTTCGGCACGAAATGTTCATCAAACTTCGCCAAAATCACGTCGAATTTTGCATCATCTCCATCAGCCAAGGTAAAAGACTTATACACATGTTCTGCTTCTCTTCCCATTGTGTAAGTGAGAGCACTGACTTGCACGGCGCCTTCCTCTTTGTGAAGTTTCGTCGCGAGTCGAAATCGCAGGAGATTCTGCTTCCAATCTGGCCAGTCGAGCGGTTTGGAAAAATCAAATTTCTCTGGAGGGCTTAACTTCAGCATTTTACTGGTTTAACCGCTGCCACCATGTCTTGAAATCTCAACAGGATTTAATCTTATAACAAACAAACGTGATGTACAAAGTCCGCCATTAGGCAAGAGCACATGGTAAAACTACGTCCTAATGCGCATGTCGCTAGCGTTACTAAGCAACATCGAGACACACTGCAAAACATAATTCTTCCTACTTACCAGGAATAACAGTGTATCTTGCTTTAAATCCATGGGCTGTTACAGAACCATCAGTAACAAAACATACAATCAAGGTTTCGTGGTAAGAAGAAAAAGTCGAATCGCTGGTGAGTGAACCACATAAACGCCCAGGAAACACACCACTACCATATATGACAGCATTTTGAATTTGTATATAGTCGTAGCGACAGCCAGTCCCACTTTCTATGTCCATGTCTTGAATGACCAACTTGACGCGATTTCCTGTACTTGCCATGATTTTCCATTTGCAATTGTGGTTATTACCATAATTTCCCGGATAAGAAGGACTTGTGATGATGCCTGAAGTCCCTGTCAGGATTGCCATATTTGGACACGCTGACGCTTTAAGACAAGAGAATAAGAACACCTTTCGTTTTAGAAAAGGTGAAACACTCGCCACGTCAAGCTCGTGGAAAAAAGAAAGAGATCTGACTTCCCACAACAGTGATCGGGCGTTTTAATCATATAGTAGTCAATTTATCCTGGTGTTAAAGGGGGTTTGTCTCGAGGATATTGCTGTTTTTAGGAATTTTACGTGCTGAAGTCATCACTTAGTGCCCATACACTTATACAAAATGCTCCTTTAGAGTTATGGAGAAGGTCCCAAACAAAATTTATCAGACAGCACTAGCCATAATTATTTTTTGGTAATTTTTTGCATTGAAAAGGCTGGCCATTTTTTCAAGTTTCACTCATCCTTACCATCCATATTAACAGACGACAGGAAACGGTTTTAATGCCTAAATATAGTCTTATTCTTTGAATTCAACTGATTCGAAAACACGCTTTAACTTTTTAAAAAGGTAGAAAATAGCGTGACATAGCCCCTTAAAATAACTTGGTACGTACCGTAAGAAATACCTCCATGGAGTTCCATTGATTTCCGTGGAAAAAATTTCCATGGCATTCCATGGGGGATAAGGACAACAATTTCAATGGAATTCAATGGAAAAGTTCCACGAAATTCCATGGAAACTACTGCAACCAATTCCATTGATCTCCATGGAGTTCCATGAAATTCACAGGAATTAGACCACGGAATTAAATATCGCATTGAGTTACAGATGTAAATGGAATATATGTATATACAATTTTCCACAGATTTAGGTGTCACTGCAAATTACTGGATAAGTTCACTTTTATTAAATAGAAAACCGCTCAGTCTCTTTTGAAAAGTTATAAATACAAATTACTTAAGCTCAATGAAATCAAAACTCACTCAGAACAACAAGTTGCTCAAACGTACATCGATAAATGTTTAGTGACTGACAGTTCGCCAGATTACGGACGTGACTCTTAACTGTTACAAGGTGCCTGTACTGAGTCTCTAGACAGCCAAGTCCAAGGAGGAGCTACTCAGCCTCCCCACCCATGAAGCTTATGACTAGTCAATCACTTCCCCCACGCTCTGCTAGTAGTGTTTCGGGCGAAGCCTTCCAGACTATGAAACTAGTGCATCAGGAAATCACGAACAGGAGATGAGTGGACCTTCGGACATGGACGGTGATTGAAGACTGACGCAAGAGTAGATAATACAATAAAGAGTCCAAAGAAACGCTAAGACTTATACGGGATAACTCAAAATGAAGAGCCAGTCCCTCCTGAGTGCTGAATTTTCAAGATGGCGTGGCTTTGTTATTTTCTAGTTTCATCCTATCGTTCAGCACTTTTTGCCCTTTCAAAATGTAACCTAGGCATCACTCTCAAACAGAATCAGTTTGAGGAGTTAAACCTTAGGGCCAGAATGATGTAAGTGGGCTGGTTGAGACGACTGATGCCCGAGGCGACCGAGGCAACAATGGTGATAGAAAAGTTACTTGGTCGTTGTAATGTACCTGCATCGGCGGATCCAGACCTTCAGATTGGGGGGGCGGTCATCCAGACCTTGAGATAAGAGGGATTGGGCGATTTTGGTCCAAAACTAAGGGGGGCGGACCCCCTGGGCCCCTCCCCTGGATCTGACTCTCACCTGTAAAGACATTTGGATGCAGGCAAGTAAAAGGACCTTCCAGGTACGATGACTTCTTTTAAAACAAGGGACAACCAAAAGCCGAAAAGCTTCTGTAGAAATTTCTAAATGTACCCATCCCACATTAGTCACCTGCTCTGTTACTTGCCATCGACACCTTGTTCAGTATCGCTTAGTGACTAGTACGTAAGTACAGCCGACACTTGACTCTCCGCCACTAAGAATGTCTTCAAAACATTTGCCAATAGAGAGGAGAAGTCGTCGCTTCACGTTGTCATGGTAGCAACCATTCTCGATCTCAACAAAAACTGTCCCGGTCCTGCCAATATAGCAGAAAAAACGAAAAAATTGACATGTATGACTTTCCCGTGCCTGATTGCACTCAGGAACAAAACGGTAGCCCACAGTTTTCTTCTATCGTTCGTCAATGCAAATGACCGTCTATGTCAAGAACAATAGTTAAGATCCAGAAATTTTGCTACCATTGTAACTTGACGTCACGCTTCTCTCTATTTCTCTGAGTTTCTCTGAGTTTCATGATGTGAAGGAGTTTTTTCGCAGATCGTCAAGAAGCAGTAGGCATGCGAGATAATCCTTCTTTGTGTACTCTTGCCCGGCAGATCTTTTAAATTTGGCTGTTTCGTCATTTCAAATATCGCAACCATTTTTGCGTGCACCATGCAACTGACCTCTATTGCCCAATAACTGTTACTAATTGGACAATTGACGTAGTTCTTCGAGAACTTAAACCCATTCTCTGTTTGTCAGCATCATTTCGTTTTTTTTATGATGTATTGTAAATGAGAGGTAGGCTATACACATTCGGACAAGATCATTTTACAATAATTTCATTTTCCAACTCGACATAGGCCGCTAGCTCGTTCATTATGTGGCCGGCTAAACTATTTGGGCCGTTTATTTGAAAGGAGTTTAGCCATTCAATAACAAAACCGCGTTCTAAGACATTTTCAGTTTGCCCAAGGCTTTAAATCTAAACACCATGCAATTTCTTGAAAGCATACAGACTAGACAAGAAAGCATTTATTTTCTTAAAGTAAACCAGAGGATAGATAGATAGACTTCGGTCCAAGATAGACTTAGTTTAAATGTTTAGCTAAACCATTTATAATTTGGCTATGTAATTTCTTTATTAGCTATGTTACCCAACAACTGAGCCCTAGACTATCTTTGTCACTTGCTTGCATCGATTGGATGTCCTTGTATTGTATTGACCCTAGTTTAATGGTCTTAGCTCCCACGAGTCTCAAGTAGCTTAATTAGTGGTAGAGAATCTGAACTTACCATAGTAAAAGAAGGTAATAGCTAAGGACTCCTATTGCAAGTATTCAGATTTTTTTCTTCCGAGCCACCTGTTTCACTGACTGAATAAATATCTTTCTCATCCTAGTATTTTTTTGTTTAGGCTCGACTTCCGCAGCTCTTTTTCGTCCCCGAGAAGACTGAGGAAGGAGGAAGAGGGTGTCGACACAGTTCCTGAACGGCAGATAGTAATCGAGCCTACTTTTTGTATTGCCAGTAATACATTTATTGAAAAAAAAAATTGTGGGTTTAAAGTGTTCAGATCAAAAACACCGAACTATTTATCTGCAGTTTCTTTTTCATCCGCTGCAAGAGAAGATATCCTCTCTTGGCTGCAAGAGCTGTATCCTCTCTTGTCCCCAGTCACTTGATAAATGACTAACCCTTGTTTTCTTCATACTTGCTGCGGAGCCGACTTATTAAGTTTATTTCTAAATTTCAATAAAGATAAAGTAACGGAGATTTTCGTTACCTTCTCAAAGAGTAAGGCTTGAAAATAAATAATTTAACTGACACTTATAAAGTATACAGGAATTGCTTACTTCAGGTTACTTACAAAGATAACGTACCTTGAATCCGAAGAATCGTCAAGGAACAAAACATATAGAACTTAAGGAAACAAAGTTTGAAATCTTTTTGCACGCAGTATTTCTTCATGTCTGCTGTCCCATTCGCTCGTGAACGACAAGCATGTGTTTTGGTGTTGACAATCAGTTTTCTCAATTATTTCAATGCACTGCGTTTCTTCATAAAACCTAATGATAATCAATGTCATGATTAGCAATGTGAGATACTGTAACACTGAAACCCGCGTGTAAGATCCTAGTGGCTTAAGAACCTGCTGGCAGAAACTTGCCACTGTAATGCCCAAAAATGATGAGAACCAAAACCCAAGCAAAATCAAGCAGGTTAAAGTTGATTTATGATAAACATTTTAACCAAAGATTTTGACTTTGAGATTACAAACTGGTATTACAAGACAATACTGTACGCACCAAACTGTAATTACAAAGTATTACTGTAATCCCTACAACAAAAACAGGTTAAAAAGAACTCTGTTTAAAAGAGCTGTTTTGATTAACAATTTCCGTTAGGAAGGACCGTGTTTCACGTTTTTAGCTTTGATGTTCCTAACTCAGGAGTTATTTAACCCCCCCCCCCCCTGGGGGAGGGGGAGGTACTCAAAAAATTTTCGTATGGGAAGGCTCCGCCCCGAGGTCCAACCCCTTACCTTCTAATAATATACCATTTTTGACAGAAAATGTACCCCTTTCGTATACTTTCTATTGACTTAGGGTACCTCTTTCATATACCTAGTTTAGAACTTTGCATAGCTTTTACTGCTGTAATTGCACTTTCTTTAAAATGCCAGTGAAAAAATCACAAAACCAGAAAGTTTTCACAGCCACAAAATGCATCTCCCTACCCTTTCATATACTTCAACAAGTGAAATCCCTACCCTTTCATATCCCCGACCTGAAGCCTGAGAAGGGTACCCATTTCGGGCTGAGCCTCTCTGTATAGACCATTATAGGGAGTACCTCCCCTCGGGATCAAACCCCAACAGGTGCTCACTTGTAATGGGACGAGGATGCACTTAGGTACATTAGAATAAATTAAAAGCTTGAATGTCACAAATTTAGGAGTCGTTTGCATTTGGAAGCGTTTTGGGCTAGTTTTGCTGTTCTGTCTTAGGGTTAAGACAGAATAGGAAAACCAATCCATATCGCTTCAAGACGACACAGGAATACAAAATACAGCAAAGGTAGTGGCACTGCAGTAGTGAGGGGGGGGGGGAGGTGGAAAGGTTTTCGGTGAGCGAAGCTAACCCAGGAGTCC